CGATATATATGAATGTATATATATATATATATATATATATATATATATAATAGTTCGATTTTAAAGCTTTGTTGTAATGTTTTGGGATAAAAAGTTAGAACTCTCAATACAAACTATATTTCTGAGTTTTTATATAATAGGAATTGTTTTGGGTGCTTAAAAATGTGAAGCTCAAGTGCCAACTCTGTTCACAACAACGGTTATGTACAGTACAGTGCCTCGACTAAAAAAGTCAGGTAAATGTGCAGGGTTTCTTCTGACGGAAAATTAGACAAGGGAAGTAATGGCCGGCTTGGGGAAAAAACACGCATAATGGATTCAACGCTGCAGGTGGACGCGGGGGCAGAGAGGGAGAGGTGGAACTCCCTCTCTTGCTGGGGGGGGGGGGTCTGGGGGTCCCCATCCAGCAAAATTTTAAAAATTTTAATGTCTTAGACTGCATTTGAACATTTTCACAACGGCGATGTTAAATTTGTGCCTCTTATCTATAAGAAACCCTGGTGTGTCGTGCATGTTAGAATTTCTTGATAATAATTGCAAACTAGTTGGTGTGATATATTAGTTTGAAATTGATAATGTACTTCTGTGGCTACATTCCTTTCAGAAGTTTGTGAAGAATGTCATTGAATATGTCATCTTCAGGAATAATGTCATCTGGTGTCAGTGGTGATAACTGTCCAGTCGAAGAACCAAACACGCTTCGTCATCGTATGGCTTCATCATTTCTTTATCAGTTACCTGGTAGGAATGTTTATTGTTATATATCATGTTATCTCAGTTTATGTAGTGCTGCTATACTGCATGCACTGAGTATTGCTGCCAGGGTCTATGTCCCTCGGGGTACTGCCGGAAGGTACCCTGGGTACGGTCCGGTATACCGGAACGTACCCTGGTACTATCTAATATGCTGGACCGTACCTCGCCTACTCCACTAACGAGTCTAGGGAGTCGCCTATGCATCCCTAATCCCTAACCCTAACCCTAACCCTATCCCTAACCCTAACCCTAACCCTAACCCTATCCCTAACCCTAACCCTAACCCTAATCCTAACCCTAACCATATCAAATAGTGACCCAGTTGAGGCAGTACCCTGGGGGACATAGACCCTATGAGCCTGAGTATTGAGCTATACTGTCAGAACTAGGTTTACTAAGTTATTGTTTTACGACTTGTGCTGTCTGTTAGTTGTTTTAAATGTAATGTTGAAATGAATCTAGGCCTCTTTTTTCTCAAATAAATACTTTTTATGTGTCTGTGACAAGCTACATGAGATGTTATGGTTAATAGTAAGACTAATCATTAAAACAAATTTGTAATTGGGTTTCTTATAGGCAGCCACGCCATCTGGTGGCACCTGGTATAAAATTTCACTTTAGGTGGTCGACCTATAGTGCAGTATTTTGTCTCATGGCCCATTTAGGTACAAATTCTTTGTATTTCATCACTTATGTGTGGATCACATCACTATATATGATCATGTATTATGCTGACATTTGTTGACTAGATTAAAAGTTTATTGGTGGGCAGCAGAGCCGATAGACACTGATCATGGCTTCAGGGAAAAGAGACATCGTGAATTTTGCTCTCTTGATTAGCTACTCAGTTTTTTTCTGTATTACAGGTCAGGAGCATGAGCTGGACATTGTAATGCTTGACCACTGCTATTCGAAGCCTTGGAGCTCCCATCCAGATGCCAGCAATGCTAGGCCTGTCCGAATGCTGTTTGTTAGCAGGCAGCCTCGCAACACTCAGGAACCACATATACTGTAAGTGGTCAGCACTCAGCAGTCAGAGACAACAAAATTAACTTTCGGCTTATTTCAATTTCAAGTAGAGTTTTTTGCAGTGTTGAAGTAGGTATATGTAATTATTGCCTCGGTTGTAAAGGATGCAGACCTGACAAATATAATGTTGGGATTCCTGGTTTGGATAGAGAAGGTTATTGTCACGAGTTGAAGCTAGGGGTAGTAAGTGCACGCACGCATACACTGTAGACGGAAATGTTTAGTAATGTCAGATAATGGAAAGTTTAATAAACCATGTAACAGTTCAACGTTGGCACCCGCACAACCTTCAATTGCAATATTACGAAAAACTATATATACATAGACTAATAAATGATTAAGAACTGTTACAGCAAAACCGCAGATGGGGTTCTCCTTGTTTCCTCGGCTTCTTCTTCTTCTCCCGCTTCTTCGGCTTCTTCTTCCTTCCTCTGTCATCTTAAACCTAGTTCTGACCTTTTTCTGCTGCTTCTGCTCTTCGTCAGCTTCTTCTTCTTCCTCCTATTCTCCAGCCACACGTGTCTCTCAAACACGAACTTCGGCCCCTTCTCCTCTTCTTCAGCTTCTTCTTCTTCCTCCTATTCTCCAGCCACACGTGTCTCTCAAACACGAACTTCGGCCCCTTCTCCGGCCGCACGTCTCTCTCTCAGACTCGACTCAACCGGTCCATCTCAAATAGTAACTTTACTCGTCTATGACATATTCTCAGTATAATAATTAATACCTTGCAGTTATATCTCGGTATATTCATTTCTTAAGTTTAACTTCCACGTGTGATTGCATCATACGCAATACTGATTTCTTATTGGTTCACTTCTATTGTATGACTTGCCGGCAGCAGAGGGTTGCCGCCATGATGTTCTAACTGTTGAATAAAACAACTTATCACTTGAACTTTATACCTGGTTATTCGTGTAGCACGACACAAGAAGAAACAAACTAAAATCACGACAGTCTACATCAGACACAATCTTTACACGTCTACATCAGACACAATCTTTACACGTCTACATCAGACACAATCTTTACACGTCTATTCCAGACAAAAACTCCAGGCCGTCTGACCTCTCCCGCACGTCTCACGCTCGCCAGCTATCACGCGTACGAATCACCTAGGGCATATATTTAGGTCATACCGCGTGTATAAACTCTGTCACTTGTGACAGTTATCTTGTAATTATATTATATGCAGACGTGTATGTGTCTTACAGTTAAAAGTAGAATAGTTGATAGTATAACTTTCTGATGATTGCATTGTAGTCATATAGACTACATACATGTAAAATTATAAGAAATTTTATACAAATAAAAACCTTTCCTTTGCAACCTCTGCCGGGTTTATTAAATGTCTACATAATTGTCTGAACTGTCCGTTGTACAATAGGTAGGGCCTAATTGGCTAATTGATGCCATCATGGTCATTAACATAATCCAAGATATGTGCTCGAATTTTTACAGAGAACCCAACGTTACCCTAGATGTAGAAAGTGTGATAGCGAAACCGAGTCTCCCATATGACGTTCAGAAAGCCCGTACTGTCATGAATGAATGTGAGCGCCACGTGAACTTTGCGAGATCGGAAACCAATGCTCCAGAAGACTGGGAGGAACACATTACCAGGTACGTTTAATTGCTGAAATTTATATGAAAATCACAATGCAAGTATTTGCCATGTTTAAACGAGTTGGTCATATTTTCACGGCTAGCAAACATTCTATGTGCTCGTTATCATAAATATTTCAATAGTGGTTGCCATGGTGAGTTGCCCGTACCAAGATGCATGTCAGTTTCATATGAATTTGCACCAAGGCATTAGGTTTATCAATCGTCTGTTAGTGCCTATGTTGCAACCCAATTTTTAGTGGGTTGCCAAAAGCCTCCAGTAGCTATTCAAAGTTTCGTGTGCAGTTCAATAGTGGTCATCATGAGCTCAAAGTCAGCATTTAGGTCGCAGCAAAAAATGACCTTACTTGGTGGCGCCTCCATGCATATTTACGTTCCAAATTCATTTTCATCCCCGATTCCCTTTGGTCAGCATTCAAGTAACGTGTCATAACCGTTGGCTCAGAACGTTGTGATGACTATTCATAAGAAACGAAACAGCAGGCTGCTCTTTTGTGTGTCTTGCATCTGCGTGCTATTTCGTGCGTTCCAACAGAGGATTTCGGTGTGCTCCACAGAGTCGGCTGGACTCTCACTCAGAATCGACTCTTCAACAAGGTGATCAAGGCTCTCAATGCTGACCGGTTGACACGACTCGCACACGAGGGTGCCTACAACGAGGCTGTAATGCGTAGAATCGGCGTCGACAAGACAGCCCGCAGAGTGCGCCACGCTCTCGCGAGCGTAGGCTGGGTATGTGCTGCTACCACATCCTAAGTTATTGATCTCGCTTCCGACAGATGATGCCGAAGTGGACAACGGTCGGAAATCTGCCAGTTTGTTCATCTGGCAGAAAATGTAAAACTTTTTATGTGCCGAAAGCGTGTGGCAAATGTGATGGTGATTCAATTTGTTTTAATCTACACTGAGATCAATCCAAATGGTCGAATATTCATTCAAATTGAATGCCGAGATGAGAACATGATATGGTCACAGGACATACGTAATACGGAAGCAGATCACTCACAATGGACGTGGGAGTTTTTGCATGCCACTAGTTAGCAAATGTAAATCTACCAATGACGGCGTTGTGGTCGCTGAGGTTGATTCGTTCCTCCACCTTCAGACACTTGTCAGAATAGGGACTGACATATCCTATGGTAACAGCGAATGTACACATAGTGAACGGCTTTGCAGCACGCGGTGTCACGATCTGCTGGGACGCGCGCAGTGGCGCCTGGTGCTTGGTGCTGTAAAGGATCCAGTCGAGGATGGAGCCCTCTTCGTGTGTCATGTACTGGTCTCCTGTGTATGGCAATGCGTTGGCCTCCAGATTCGTAAGCATGCGCAGGACGTGCGGCATTGTCGCGATGCCATCCATGTTGAAGTCGCCACTAAGTATCGCCGGCTCGTCGGCAGAGATGTTCTTTTGTTTTACGAAGGCGGAAAATTCCATCGCCTGCAGCTCGCGCGTCGTTTCGTGCTGCTCGCCGGAGTTTGTGTGTGTCGCGAAGACATGGTAGATCTTGGATCCTCCCCCGACCGTCTTGCGTATTTTTGCATAGGCGACCCCCTTCGCAGCAAAGCGCTCCATGCTTACAGCTTTGGCGATTGTGTACACGTGCTCGTCCTCTTCGAGTATCGGATATCGTGACGCGATGAAGATGCCGCCATTGAGAAACTTAGGTCCCATCACTTCCCCCGCCCGGTCGTCGTCGTCGTCGTCGCCGCTCAGTTCCTCCGCCGCGTGCGCGCCCTCCCGCGCCGCGCCCTCCCGCGCCGCGCCTCTCTTCCTGAGCCGACTGCCGACGGTGCGCGTCGTGTAGGGGAAGCCGTTGTCGGCGAGCAGCGCGCGCATCGACAGCCCACGCTCGATCCAGCAGCCGCCCGTGAACAGCTCCTGAAACGCGACGACGTCGAGCTCGGGAAAGTCGGACGCGATCGCGGCCGGGATGCGGCACATGCGCTCGCGCTGGCCGAGCTTCCAGACGACGTGGAAGATCTCGAAGATGTTGTACGCCATGACGGCGAGGTCGGTGACGGGCGACGGCACGTGGCGCCGCCGCGCGGCGTCGGCGACGCACAGCACCTTGTCGCCGCTCGCGCACGGCACGCCCTTACCGTCGCCGCGCGGCGAGCTGCGCGCGTAGCGGAAGCCATAGAGCTCGCAGTCTCGCGGCAGCGAATCGCAGCTCGGTCCCGTTCCTGCAGCAGTGAGAGAGAAAGAGTGACGTCATCAGTCGTGCGTCGTGCGTGAGCGTCACAGCGCCTCACAGGAACTTGTCGCACAAGTGTTTATATAGTGTTACCGAGTGTCGCGTGATTGGCGAAAAGTGCAATTAATGGCGAATAGTTTGCCGTATTACGAAGGTCAGGGTACGGAGTTGGTACCATGTGCTGCACACCTCTATTTGACATTGGTCTCAGTTCGGAAGCATATATGTTTGCCACCTAGGTAATACGTTATAGTATGTAATCGTGCAGCATGCTTATTGCCACTCAGCGCAAACAGGTTCTTGCAAAAACGTCTCAAGATGCTACGATAAGCAATACCTTTAGGATATACTGCACTGTAAAGTATATATATACAGGATATAGGTTTGTGATCAATTTTAAAGACAACATCGCATGCTGTAGTTATCTAGATTGCATACAAATATTTAATCTTGAGGTTTCAATCAAGGTAAACATAGATATATAATATCAGGAGTAGATAATAGGGAACTTCCCTATTATCTACTCCTGATAATATGTGTGATGTTTAGTAGATAAAGCACATGATGGAATACTGCTGGTGTTTTCTTGATAAACATTTATGACGTAGAGTTTGTGCCTTTTTTGATTCCTGGCATTCGGGGTGTGAGTGGTATGGTAAATATTGGCGTTCGACTTGGCAAATAGTACAATCTTATAGTGTGATTACATGTCACACCTGCTTTTAATATTTACACATAAATCTGGGTTATGTTATTTCATACTCCTCGAATTATTGGCAATGTTAACAGTTTTGTACACCGTTTACGAATCTGTAAAATAATATTAAGTAATTGTCACAGGAGTTACAATAATTTTAAAACCAGTTGGAACCATGCTCTGCAAACCATTTCTTTTCATTAATTATAGTGAAATTATAATTATAATTATAATTATAATTCATTATAATAAATGGTGAAACCTTAAGGTTTTACCATTTATTATATCATACCTTACCTAGCCATACTTGTGATTGTTTAGTAGTTGAAGGTGTGCTAGTCAGGATAAGAGTTACCTGTAAGGTAAAAACGCTATAACATTAACTAAAATTATAACTAATAACTTTAAAACGTTTATTTTTTCATCATAGTTTACCGAATTTCTTTCCTTATCAAAATGCTTGCAATCACGGATGTATGTAGGTATAGGATTCCTACATGGTCCACACGAATTGATGATGTCTAACGTTCGTGCGTGCGTACATGTGTGTGCTTGCATGCACGTGCGTGCAAATGCTATAATATATAAACTCTATTGCTGTCTTTGATAAACTGTACAAATACACGGTCACATAAGCATGTGCTGCAGCTACATACCAGAGTGGTTGTGGTCAATTTATAAATGCTGATAGCCATTTCGAAGCTTGACCTCTAGGTGTGAGCGAAGGAGTGCTGATGCGTAAGAAAGACGAGCTGTCACACATATACGGTCTTGAATGTAACTAGGTGCATTTCACCTCTTGGCAGAGTCTTGTTTAGTCTCTATGGATATATGTATGTAGACTATGTACACCTTTGCTGTGGACTGCAGCAGGAACAGTGCTGCTAAGCTGATGATAAAAGTTGGAGCAGTCTATCTATGTACTCCTACCTGAGCATTTTTACTGTGCCTTTTAGGAAGAGTTTAAATGAATGTTTGCATTCAGATAATGTCAGTAAATCTGGTATAAAATTAATCAATGTAAGCTTTCCAAATCTCACTATAGATTAAGGATACTGTCAAGGTTTTAGGAAAAAATTTACCGATTTTTCATTTTCAACTTTATTCGATGGCTAACACTATGTGCCACCTGTGTACATGCTCATTTCTTCATATAACGGTACATGTGAACTGTCAGAGCGTTTTTCTTGCCCGCGTACATGTGTAGTGAGCAGCGGCTGACGTCAGAAAAACGCTGATTTCTCCGTTCCAATTTCTGACTTAGTAGTCGATGTATAAATGGATATTTCTCTGTGATTACAACTCGGAATAATTTACTTTTACACTCGTTTTAATGGTAACATATTGCTGTAAAAAAGCGCGTCAGGGATTGTTATTAAGTGCCGTATTTTATGAGTTATGTCTCTTTATTTGCCAAAATTTTAAATTCAAATGTGCGACTTGAATTTTAGGCAGTTTTTTTAATTTTTCTTGGTAAATATGAAACTTAAAGAAAAATCCTGATGCGCTATTTTAGTACATATTGTGTTTAACATGTGGCGAAAATTTTGTATCTTCACTCTTTCTGGTAATTGAGAAATATCCAAAATACCATTTTTACATAAAAATTCAAAATTTTGTGGTAACATAATTAGGTGCTGGAAATTTCATGAAAGTTTTTGCCTTGAGCATAGAGATATATCTCCTCTATAAATAAAACAAGTGATTGATTCGATTCATTTGTCAATAAACGTTTAATCTTTATTAGAGCAATACCCGGGCAAAAGGTTGAGAGTATCCTTAATTATGGAAGTGTCAATATGACAACCAGCAATTTCACATTTCCAGCAAGAGTTGCAGTGTCCCTATCTATGACTGCAACTGTTCTGTGAAGCTCTCACTTAACAGTTCGCTAAATAAAAGGAAAATTCTACCCTAAACAGCTAAAGTTCAACAATATATATTTTATTTATAGCGATTATGGTGTGTTAATTACGATATACTAGCAGTAGCAATTTTCTTTTGCACAGGATACAAAGTTGACACAGTGGCTGCACCAGACACTAGTAGACAGCCTAAGCCAACCCATGCTAGCTGCGTATCTCGACGTTCTACAAACTCTCAAGTCCAAGGTGGTGCAATTGTAATCCATATGCATGTGTGTTGCTGTTTAGGTCAATGCAATTAATTTGTTGCACTAAGCAGTTGTCACACTATAACTCTGGTTGCGGGACATCCGAGAATACCAATTGACTTGACCCATGTGCAATCATACGATGAAGTAAGCTTCATTAATTTGATCACTGTATCTGTTTGAGTTTTCATTAAGCATGTGTGAGCTAACCGGGGGTTCAGCAGCTCATGAAGCAGGTTGGTAAGCCGTTGCTTTGTTTCAGATTCCCGGACTGATCGACAAGATGATAGCACTGTCTATCTCGGTGGCATCACACTCCGGTGCTAACGCTGAGGCACTCAGCCTGCTGTTGAAACGACCGTGGGACCCCGCAGCCACTAACCTCACCCAGCACAAGCCGGTGAGAGCGACACTACAGCACGTTGTCGCGCAGTGTGTCACCGTTCAGCGCGCTGCCACGCAGTGTGTCACCGTTCAGCGCGCTGCCACGCAGTTTGTCACCGTTCAGCGCATTGCCACGCAGTGTCACCGTTCAGCGCATTGCCACGCAGTTTGTCACCGTTCAGCGCATTGCCACGCAGTGTGTCACCGTTCAGCGCATTGCCACATAGTTTGTCACCGTTCAGCGCATTGCCACGCAGTGTGTCACCGTTCAGCGCATTGCCACGCAGTGTGTCACATCAGCGCATTGCCACATAGTTTGTCACCGTTCAGCGCATTGCCACATAGTTTGTTAACGTTCAGCGCATTGCCACATAGTTTGTCACCGTTCAGCACATTGCCACGCAGTTTGTCACTGTTCAGCGTGTTGCCACGCAGTGTGTCACCATTCAGCGCATTGCCACACAGGCTGAGATTGTGTAGTATAGACTCAGTATAATTTTACAGGGTCCATGCAGCAAATGATGACATCATGCCATAATAAAAATATTGTTTGTTTGCCCTCACCCGACCGACCCGCCAAAAAGGGGGCGACTCAACCAATTTTATTGATCTTTTTTTCTTTTCTTTTTTTAAGAAATTGTATCACTGTACATTATATAAATCTGTAGGCAATACATTATATGTACCAAGCAAAACAAATATTCAACATAAAAGGTATCTCCACACCCGAGCATGTAGACACCATGCTGAATTTGTAAAAAGACCCCTGCCCTCAAAAAAAGCCGACCTACCTACCCAAACTTTACAGCCTGGGTCGGGTGAGGGCAAACAAATTTTTTTTTAATTGTGGCTTCGGGGGCGTATTGCGGTGTGAATGGCTTTTTCGTTGCGGACGTGAGATTGCATGGCGTTGATTGGTGATCTGCTCAAAACGCTCTTACAGAGAAAGCTTCCAGGGAACCCGCTATTGCTCATTGCACCGTCGGCGCCAACCAATCAGAACGCTGCCTTCTCGCGCCGCAGCAAGTTCTGGAACACACAGCTGGCACACATGGCTAAGGTGGGTAACGTTACTTGTTGTAGAAACCGAGCGGTACCAAAGTGTAGGTTGCCTCTTTCTATGTGCTTGTCTTTATTACCTCCGCGCAACGGAGTTGCAGGGAGGTAATGTAATCGCTCTCGTGTGTGTGTTTGTGTGTGTGTTTGTGTGTGTGTGTGTAGCAGTGGCGTAGACAGGTCCTCAGTTGTGGGGGGGATGATTTCGCTGTTACCTCCATCATAATGTATATGAAGAC